GTGTTTATGATTTTGTCCTGCCACTTAATGTCACGTATTCTTCTTAGGCATCGCATGTGAAAGCTTTTTGGCCGTCTCTCCTCTTGTAAATAGATTGACCAAGTTTCACTGCCATAAAGCCGAGTGCTGAGAACGCAAGCCTGATAGGCAAGAGTTTTTGTTTCAATTGTGCGCTTTCTGTTCTTCCAAACTATTTTTTTTACATCCTCCCCATAGCCGAAAGCCTAGACATTATTGTAGAGACCATATGTTGCCCATGCATCATGATCCCTCTCTCGAACTGCCTTGTTTACCCCAAAGGAAAGGTAACACCAGTATGTTTGGAACAAAACAGGCTGTAGAAGTTGCCGGATCAGGAGAGCAATGCTCTATATGTCCACCTGTCGGAGTTTCCATCCTAGATAAGATGCCAGCCAAGGGTAAGGGCCTTGTCTACCCTACCATAAAATAACGTTTTTAGGTTGCATTTCCTTCTCCTAGGATAAGGCTTAGTACCCTTCCAAGTGCGCTCCTGCGCCTGAAGCCGTTGGCACAATATGGGATGTCAGGTATGGTATACGCCGCCCAACATTCGGCGAAACGGAAAACAGGTGGTACCGGCTACTACTACTACTACTACTACTACTACTACTACTACTACTACTACTACTACTACTACTGCTACTACTACTACTACTACTACTACTACTACTACGACTACTACTACTACTACTACTACCGCCACCATCACCACGACTTCTTCTTCTTCTTTTTCTTCTTCTTCTTCTTCTTCTTCAGCATTCTGCAATCTTAAGGTTTACTGATGCAGATATTACCCAACTCCATTAATCTTAATGACAGGCCTTTGCTTTCCAGCTGGTGACTGTTTGCAGGTCTGCTTGGATATTATCTCTTTAGTTTTCTTGGTCTGCCTCGTGGTCTACGACTATTCACCTCCCTTGTTCACACAGTTTTTGTCAATCTGTTATCTTTTCTAAATACCCTAGCCATTTGTCTTTTAGCCTTATGATAATTATGAACTTCTTTGTTGCTTTTCTGAATCCATTTCTGGCTGTTTGAGATTATGATGGGTCCTAACATTCATCGGGAGTCCCCGTGGCGGAGCGGCTAGGCGCTCGCCGCGGATCGGAAGGTCGTGGTTTCGCTCCCTGACGGAGCCTGATTTTTTTTTTTAAATGGCTTTGGCTCTCAGGTCGACCCAGCCTCGAGTGGGTACCAGGTGCAGTCCCGGGAAGTAGAGGCGGCCGGCGTGATGTTGACCACATCACCCATCTTGTGCCGATGGTCTTTAAAAATATAGGTCTAGCCCTATATGCCCTATAAGGCGTGGAAAAGGGTCCTTTACTGGGTTTTTTTTTTTTCAACATTCATCATGAAACAGCTCTAAATAATTTTTAATAAGGCTTCGCCTCTGTTAGTTGTGTTTAAGGTTTCAGAGCTATATAAGACAACTGGTATAATCAAATTTTTGTTGTTGTTGTTGTTGTAGCTTACTGTAATACTAAAGTTACGAGATGTAAAAAAATTGTTGTAGGGATAGTACACTTTTTTTTCCATTCTATGTTGTTTTTCTTCTCTTGTTATGCTGGAGTAGTTGACGTTTGTACCAAAAAACTTGTAACTTTTCGTTCAGAATAGACAACAGAAAGAAGAAAAAAAAAGACACTTTTGTGGAACTGAACATCAGAGAGCAATTACAAACATGAACACGTGCACGAGTTGGAAGCTCTAATCCCATGCAGAAATAGAAAGCGGTTAATCGTATGAACAACACAGAGACAGTTTCTATTTCCGTGAGATTAACGTTTTCCTAGGATCGTATTTTTGCTTTGTCCTGTATGGTTGCTCGTATAGGCCAGATTTCCATTCTCCATCTGTACAATTTCAGGGTTGTAAGATGAGCTCTGGGGATTGTTGTTTCATTGTTTTTTTTTTTCTTTTTAATCTAGTGCAAAGCTGCTCTTGGAGCTACGTAATTAAACACTGAAAGACAGCGGGGAATCATTGGTGTATATGTTTTTTTTTAACAAGGGAATCTGGCCGACGCTCAACACTCGGGAGAAGGATGAGACGGATATACAATCAGACGGTTACTGGTACCCTCTGAATTGGAATTCTTGCTACTGAAGAACGAGACTAAGCACTTATGGAAGTGTCCCGAGTGCTGTGATGTCGATTCATGATTCAACATTCAACATGCAAATTTTTGTTTTTCTTTAGACTGCCAGTCTTTGCTGTTCATTTTTTGAAGACATACCCCGTCTCCATTTAACTCAGTGATTGGATTTATTGTTCCAGTTGGTGACTACAGGTATTCAGAGACGTCTCTGCACCGTCTTCTTGAACTGCCTCGCAGTCTTTGTGTGTTTGCAGTCGCTCTCTCTATACGCCACAACCATCTCAGTCAATGTTGTCACTTTGGATATTTTACATCCAGATTTAGATGTTTTCCCTTGCATTTAGATGACGTTTTTGACGTTTAGATGGTAGATTTTTTTCTACAAGTTTTTCATTTCGAGTGAATTTATCAAATCTAACCTAAGAAACAGGATGAAATTTGACCTCTTGACAATGAAATTCGGCCTGATAAGAGCAGGAAAAGGCTGCTCCACTTATCAGCTTCCTGATTTGGTATTAAAAGAAATTGGAACAGCTAAAGCATACCAGATTCATTTTGGATCTGAAGCTTCAACTTCATCATCCAAGCTAAGTTTACCATGTGGATCTTGTAAGGCAGACTTCAGTAAAGATGAGATGTGATTCTATAGGGTAAGTCATATCAATTGCTATGTTATTTGTGACTCTTTCCATTTGGATGTTTTTTATAGATATTTTTCACGCAAATTTAGATGTCTTTAGATATTTTTTGACTCCGTTTTGAATGTTTTTTTGTCAAAGAAAAGTGGCAACAATGATCTCAGTCTCTTGGCCCTAATAATGCTAGTAATTCATGATGATTGACACAGATTATAAATTTCCTTGTTGGTTCTTTCATAATTTTGATCATTGCTAGGTTCAACAGGCGTGTAGCCTCCGGCCTGCTAGCTAAAGGTTTACCACCGTGGGATTGATAAAACAAATCTCAGTCTGGAGGCCAGCGCTGAAAAACAATAATGCTTATTTAAAAAAAAAGTCCCGTTACTCAGTACGGTTGCCTACCAAGAGCAAAATAACACAAACAAAAAAGCCATGCTTCTGAAAATTAGTAACATCTCTGTGTTGCACTTGGACGTTTATTCACGTTTCCTATGAAGCTCCACGCATATCTTCTGTCTCTTAACACAGACCCGTCTGTAAAGATAATCACATCACAGTAACATCTCTGTGTTGCACTTGGACGTTTATTCACGTTTCCTATGAAGCTCCACGCATATCTTCTGTCTCTTAACACAGACCCGTCTGTAAAGATAATCACATCACAGTAACATCTCTGTGTTGCACTTGGACGTTTATTCACGTTTCCTATGAAGCTCCACGCATATATCTTCTGTCTCTTAACACAGACCCGTCTGTAAAGATAATCACATCACAGTAACATCTCTGTGTTGCACTTGGACGTTTATTCACGTTTCCTATGAAGCTCCACGCATATCTTCTGTCTCTTAACACAGACCCGTCTGTAAAGATAATCACATCACAGTAACATCTCTGTGTTGCACTTGGACGTTTATTCACGTTTCCTATGAAGCTCCACGCATATCTTCTGTCTCTTAACACAGACCCGTCTGTAAAGATAATCACATCACAGTAACATCTCTGTGTTGCACTTGGACGTTTATTCACGTTTCCTATGAAGCTCCACGCATATCTTCTGTCTCTTAACACAGACCCGTCTGTGAAGATAATCACATCACCTGGGCGGGAAAAGTCATCAGTCAGTTGTTGGACTTCTGATTTTGCAGTGCCCGCCGGCTAGCCACTGCACTCACAGAAGACTGTGATTACAATCGACAACCCATAATAGGATTTGATTTTGATTTGATTTGATTCAAGAACCGACATCACAGCACTTGGGGCATTCCCATAAGCGCTCCGTCCCCATCTTCAGCAGCCAGCGAAGATTTCCGATACTAATGGTGCCAGTAGCTTTCTGATTAAACGTCCGTCTTGCCTTTCCTCTGAGCCTTGAGCTTCTGCCAGAACCTCTCGTCACCCCAACTGCATCAATCTCACCAAACTGTGGTGATCAATCTGCTCCTCCGCATTGTACACGCTCTCCCACAAGGAAAAACAAGTCTGGTATATAATATGACATCTGTTTGAAAATAGAGGTGAGGGCAATTGCCGCAGCATTTGATGGCTAGTAAAGACCAGGGCACACAGATTCCATGATTGTAGCAGACTTTAGAGCATCTTAAGAAAGGCAGAGACACGAATGCTTCGTGCAGAGTGGCAAGCGCCGCCGGTAGTTAGCGTGCTTTGAAAATTTTCTCAAGGAGATGTAGGTGTTCTAGGAAACGAAAAGGCAGGCAGAATGACTGGTTATGTACCACCCAGTGGTAAATTCAAGCATGATACGCTAGATGTTGGTAGAAAGCGAATACTCGGGCGCACAAAGAGATCACCCCGACCTGAAAAGTATGTTGACAAGGGGTCTGGCCGACACTCAACACTTAGGAGAAACACAAGACGAACATACAACGAAACTGCTACTGGTCCTGCCCGAGTCGTGACTCTGGGCGTGATGCTGAAGATGATGACGGTCTGTTCATGTGATTGTCCCGAGTTCTGTATTAATGGTTATGAAATTACCTCATCATCTATTTCTCAGCAGATTTCATGATACTCGTTTGAGGCTAGATCCACCTGAGAGACGGAACATAACAAAAAACAAAAGCAAAATCGTTTTATTGAGGATTCGAAACTGTGACCACAAGGCCACCAGGTAATTATACTAGCCGCATTTATCCAATAACATATTTTCTGTTAACACATAAAAATAATTACTATAGACACAAGAGCAACAGCGAGAAAGTTGTACGAGCAATGTATGTACTCACCCCATAAACAAAACAACACCAACTCGCTCAATGTCCTTTTTGATTATCTCCCATGATGTGACCACAATGTGTTGACAATCCGACGACAATGGCGGCCGGATTTCCGGTATACCGCGCATGCTTGCGGAAGACATTTCCTCTCCCTCGTCATTGCATAGATAGACATGCTTGTTCTTTTCCTTCACCTTCTCGGTAATTCCCAGTTTTTTCTTGAGGTCGGTAGAACAGCTGATTCCCATAGTTTGGATTGTTTGGTTCCCCAGTGAAACTAAATGTAGAAAATCTTCAAACTAACACGCAGCCATCACAGAACTTTAATAATACTATACAAGACATACAGTAATGTCTTAAATTTCATGTTGGTCGACTAAAATCTCTCTGTTCGTCAATTATTGCTACCGAATAACATTTTATTTCATGTCTGAATAAAATCATATATTTCCGACATTGAAGGAAACCCACTGAGTTATTATGGCATACGGCATCGTGTGATTCAGAAGATTTTCATCAGGTAATCTTGAAGCAATCGGTAAACTTGTAAATATAATCGAGCTGTGTTTACTGAATATTGCACTGTTGACAAGATTATACTTTCTGGAAACTACTTAACGATTCTGCGGCTGTTTGTAATGTTCGTTATTTTATAATAAATTACAAATGTTATTTATTATTTTATTATCTTAGTGTCTGTTATTTTGGATTAGGCTACTACTTTTCTCAGTCAAATTTAAATACTAACTATCGTAAACTTCCGAAAGCTGTTTTACACACCTATTAAAATCATTTGTCGATCGTAACCAAATCTGGTTACAAATATGAACTGTTCTTAATTGTCTTCATTTTGGAATACATTATTTAGTGAGAAACCATGGTTAGAAAACTGGATGCTGGAAAATTTTAAGAACAAATTGTATAGCACACCTCCGAATCTCCCCTCAAAAAGCTTGCGACGAATAGTTCTGTACTAACAATGACTATTCACACTGGTTGTTTCTGCTTCTTCGACAGCTGAGAGGCACAAGGGATGAACAGTAGGTGCATGAGCCGCTTATCTGAAATGTATAAAAGAATGTTACATTTTAGCGGTAAAGGAAATATTGTTTCGGTATTTTGAAGCCCCACCCTGGCTCTTAATAGGTAGCGCAATATAGCCCAGCCATAAATATGGCCTAATGACTGAGCGCGGTTTCCGGAACCTCTCCACGGGTGATCCTTGTCCATATGGTGGCACTTTGTGTCAGTGGATGTTTATGGCTTGTGTGATGTCCTGGTGGGGTAAAATGTTCTACTAGCGGTTACATCTTAGGTAGCTTCTATGACAGCATGGCGTCGTGTCAGTAAGTCAGACCACAATATCAGTTCCCCATACACCTTAACTTATCATTTGACTTCATCAGGGGACCTTTCTTAGAAAACAGCAAATTCCAGTTAATCAAGGCGAGAAAAAGACGTAAGCGCTGAATGGACACCTAAATAATATGATTAAAATATATCTAGATAGTCCATTACCTGGAACCAACGTGGGCAAAAGAAAATTGGTAGAATAATAAATACACGGGGAAGAGAACTTGACTTTATAGGTCTCAGTTCAACTAAACATGATTTTGGGAGGTGTGTGTGTGTGTGTGTGTGTGTGTGTGTGTGTGTGTGTGTGTGTGAGCGCTATTGTTTCCAAACGTTCGAAGCACATGCGACAGTCGAAACTAAATCACCCTGCAGCCGATACGATCTCGATTAGCCCGAAATATGAAACTGCGTTCATAAATCTTAAGCCACAGACTCAGATTTGTTACTAAACATATTTCAGTTCCAGTTGTTCATTAAATATTTCGGCCGTGGCAGTAATTTTATATATGCTGCAGTTACTACTGTGTCTGTCCAAAACAGGAGAGAGAGAGAGAGAGAGAGAGAGAGAGAGAGAGAGAGAGAGAGAGAGAGAGAGAGAGAGAGAGACAGACAGAAAGAAAGAGAGAGAGAGAGAGAGAGAGAGAGAGACAGAGAGAGTTAATTATTCAAACACGGAACACACCAGTGGCGGGCAAAGGTTGTTGACTTGCTACAAAAACAACAGTACAATAAATCAGCATTGATGTTTCTCACAGTTCAAACAGCCAGTCACAAAATGTGGTCTAGCCGCCCAAATACCAAACAATAACAGACCTAATTGATTATATTCTCGGCACAAAAGCGCTACCATATAGAGGAAAATTATTCATTCAGCCCAGTGATATTGTAGCAGAGTTTGTTTCGCTATTTCTTTGTACGGCCAAATCTAGCGCTATCTTCTTTGAAATATTACTGATGTGTACTTGAATATGTTTCTCTGATTTATTCCAATTTGCATATTCTTCTGTTATTCTTTAATGTAGTTATAATTCTACCGCATACCCGTTTTGTCGTTAATATTTAACTGTTGTCAATAGTGATTGTCGGCGTCTGTGGGTTAAGCGTTGCAAGCGCGCTTCGCAATGCCGGGGTGCCGGGTTCGATCCCTGCTGCGGACGATTTGTCTTGCTCTGGTTTTGACAGTGGTATCAAGAGCTGACCGTTAATTGGCAATTGCAAACTACTAAACGTAAAACTTGCCTATAAAAAAACCACAGTTTTCAATCAAGGCTGGGGTTGGTTCTGCAACGTCCTGTAAAAGGATACGCAACTAAATAACAATAGTGATTGATATAACATTTTTTTAAACAATAATATGGGGAAAATAATGTGTGACAGATGAGAGGCCAGAAGGGCAGCATGCTAGATAAACCTGCGAGTCCAATTATTTACATTCTTTAAAAAAAGGTGATACATGTATGTCCGTCCGTCCATCCATCCATCTATCTATCTATCTATCTATCTATCTATCTATCTATCTATCTATCTATCTATCTATCTATCTATCTATCTATCTATCTATCTATCTATCTATCTATCTATCTATCTATCCATCTATCCATCTATCCATCTATCCATCTATCCATCTATCCATCTATCCATCTATCTATCTAACTAACTAACTAACTAACTAACTACTAACCTGTCTGTCCGCATGTTTGTCTATATGTCTGTCTATCAATCTGTCTAATAGACGTGATAGCTTATGAAAAGGGTTATAAATAACGTCAGGACGTTTTTAAAGGAAGATAACGCAAAACTAAACTGTTTCACCCATCTCGGCCTGCTAAATGTGGAGTCTGCGGCATTCAGAACTAATGGCTTCTGTTTTGTTGTTCTGAAAGAGATGTAGCTATGGGAGGAAATCGAGATTTTGTGAAGAAGTGTTAAGGTTAGTTGCGTATCCTTTACAGGACGTTGCAGAACCAACATTAACAGCCCCTGGCTGTTGTGTGGTTTTTCTAGGCAAATTTACGTCCAGTAGTTTGCCATTGCTCTCTGGACGGTCAGCAAAACCAACGCAAGGCCCATGGCCCGCAGCTGGGATCGAACCCGGCACCCCGGCATTACGAAGCGTTCGCATCGACTCAGCCACAGAGGTGAAGAAGTGTAGCTGAAAAAAAAAGAGACCTGTTCTTTGAAGAACAGCACGTATTCTTTCATCCAGTGTCCCTTTAAGAATTATCATTCCAGATCAATGCAATCTGTCATTCTCGTTTTGTGTTCTGAGGTTATGAAAGTGAGAGAAAACACAAGGATATACTCACTGCCTTTCTAACAAGCATAAGCAGGAAGCGATTAATTAAAGAGGTTTCCTTCAAAGACCGAGGGCATCTACCTGAGTCGCGAGCAACCACAAATTTGCGTGTAGATAAGCTAGATATGTAAAACGGATGTTCGTCAAAACTCAAGTTATGGAATAGGACCAAGATCCAGAAGTGGAGAAACAACCAAAACCACCCCACTGGGGCTTACAAATGCTGAATGCCAAAAAGAAGTAACCTTTGAATGAAATATTCTTCTTTCTGCTTTTCTCTGTCGGCTCTGCTGCTAAGTCGATGCGAACGCTTCATAATGCCGGGGTACCGGGTTCGATCCCAGCTGCGGCCATGCGCCTTGCGTTGGTTTCGATAGTGGTATCAGGGGGCCGACTGTCCAGAAAGCAATGGCAAACTACTGGACGTAAGTTTGCCTAGAGAAACCACACAACAGCCAGGGGCTGTTAGGGTTGGTTCTGCAACGTCCTGTAAAGGATACGCAACTAACCAGCTTTTCTCTACTCCTGGAATGCCTCGCAGCGTCAGGACAGGAAGAGATCCATGGAACGGGCTCTTCTATTCGCTTCGTTTAAAGTAAAAAGACTCGTACTTTTGAGTGTCTTCCATATTTCTACGGTCCATTTTCTGAGTGGTCGGTTTCTGGAATTATAACGGTTTTATCAGTATAACATTGCTCTCGGTGGTGCCCTGTCTTGTTAGGTGGCCAAACCACTCGATCCGTTGTCTACCAATAAAGTTCAGTATTGGCTCTGTGCCGACTCTCCTACTGATATCTTCGTTCCTAAGTAGATCTTTCTTAGTTACACAGAGCATAGTATGTAAACATTTCATGAAACACTGTTACCACATAGGTATATTCTTTCCCGCACACGACTTCTGGTTACAGCAGGCTGGAGTTGCCGTTACGGTTCCGTATGGATCAACTTGAATTTTAGTTTGTGGCCTTTGATTTCCGATGTCTTTATGGTTTTACAATTTTACAATTGCACAGATGCTGCTGTTCCATTTAAGCGGCGAATTTCTGTGATCTTTGTTTGACTAATAATTTGTCTACCCCTTAAACATAGAATTTACAATAACTGACACAGGCATGCACAGCAATTTACAATAACTGACACAGACATGCACAGCAATTTACAATAACTGACACAGGCATGCACAGCAATTTACAATAACTGACACAGGCATGCACAGCAATTTACAATAACTGACACAGGCATGCACAGCTATGGAGATTGTTTGAGATTTTTTTTTTTTAAATCAGTTTATATGTGCAGTGATAGGTGGTGAATATTTTTGTAGCATATCCCGCATGCAATGACAAACTGTTTTAATATAACTCACAAGAAGCTAATGCTGCGGATGACCTCCTGATAGCGAATGGCCTATGAAATGCGTGCAGTCTGATGTTTTGAAAAGTTTTCATTACTCAGTTAACTGTAGGCCTGTTTATTGTTTGCTTTTAATCAGTGTCTTTTTTTTTCATATGAAAAAAGGACCCTTTTCCACGCCTTTAGGCGTATAGGGTTAGACCTATATTTTTATAGACCAATCGGCACAAGATGGGTGATGTG